AACTCAGAGCAGTCCCTCAAGTCTCCGCAGTCCCCGAGTACCCTGTGCTCCCCATCGCTCCAGCTTCTTCTGCCATTGCTGTCCGTGTCCACGTCCACAGTTTCTTGGACTTGATGTTTATCCTGTGAGCCAACATCTGTTTCCCCATCCCCTTTGTTCTTGTGGCCGTCTCCCTCCAGGCCTGTGTGTGTCGTGTGTCTGATTTCCCCTCCTCACGCCCTACAGCCCACCAGTCAGTGTCATTTGCCTGTCCCATCTCTGCTCCACGCTCAGCTGCTCCCATCGTCTTCTTTATCATGTCTCCTTCCACCATAACAACTGTCTCCTGGCTCTTGAGCGGTCCTGCCGGAATGTGCCACTCTTCCTCCAGACTTGGGAAAGAGAGAAATGTATCTGTGGAAGTAACTCCCATCAGATGGCCAGATGTTGTGATGAATGCGTAACTGTCTTTATTCTCTTAGCTTCAGGCCCCAGCCCTCCCAAACTTGCTTTAGATTGACTAAGTTAATTTAGGATTAAACGTTTTCCATGGCTTGGATTTTGTGGCAGAGTAGTTTATGAGGTAAAATAAAGCACTTAAATGCTCAATATAATTTATGGCACATAGTAAGCAGCCAAGAAATGTTAGCAGTTATCATTGTTCATGCAATATAATAAGATTTCTTTGTTCTTTTATTTTTGGCCTCAGTGCTGAGCTGTGCTAATGTCTACCCTACACTGTGCCTGGCTTGTGTTCTGAGTGCGTAGTATTGGCCAGGCCCTGTGCTGAGGTGCTGTGTAGCCAACATCTAGCTGCTTTGTGCTTCATAGTAACCTGTGATGTGAGAAGAAACTATTATCATCCCCATTCCATGCATGAGGAAACTGATCTCAGGTTCTGACTCTGGAGTCCAGGATCTTAACCATTACCCTGTTCCTGTCAGGGGTGTAATACTCTCATGATACCCTTCATTAAGATACTCTTAATCTTTGCAACTGTTATTGCATAGTCCAAAGAAGCCTTGCTTAAACTCTAACTACAAAACTAAGTAGATGTCTAATCCTTCATGACGTTTTAATGGGAAGGCTCAGTCTTTTGAGGCAAAGGGATTTAGGATAGGGTGCAAAAATTTACCAGCAGAGTACAAAGAGCGTGGGCGTTGGAGACCCATGGAGCCGGGTTCCAGTGGCTCTCCCACTTTGCGATGTGTGATTTTAATCAAATGTGTGAATTTCTCCAAGCCTCAGTTTCTCAGGTGTAGAACATGGATACAATGCCTGCTTCAGAAGCTGATGTGTTGGTTAACCAGGTGTTTATGTGAAGTAGAGCTCTTTCTCTTCTTTGTTTTCCTACATCAGGCCATTGAGAAAATTTCAAAGCATAGGTTATGATAAACTACCAAATCAGACCAATATTGGTTAAATTTTCTTCAGGTGAAAGATGCCACTGTTAACATAATGTGTGTGAATAGTCGGGAAAGCAGCATTGATGAGAGCCTTTGCCCTTAGCCTGTTTATACATCTCTTCAATTGGTGGAATATGATTCATGAGAATCATTTGAACGCATTCTATCCTGATGCATTTTGAGTCCAGGAACAGGTTAAATGTTTAAGCAGGAATTCATGTTAACATGTTAAATGTGTTGTGTGAAGTCTGGTGTTTAAACTCGATTAATATTTCTGAAAAATTAGAAATTAAACTAAAGTAGTTAAAGTTGTTGAGGGTGAGGGGAGTGGAAAGGAAAAACCAGAATTAAGCTCAGGGTGTCAGAGAATAGAAAATGACCTTTGGTAGTTAGATGGAGAAATGAAAGGAATTCGGCCCAGACAGAGCTTAGAACTTCTCTTATTTTATCGTTCCCAGCATCATGTGTTGAATCTTCCACGTGTTGGCTCACTACTGAAATTCATTCCTAAAATAGGTAGTGCCACCAAAAGCCAATCTAACCCCCTGGACAGCAGACTATGTCAAGATGCTTGTGGAAAATGAGAACACCCCTTCTTTCTTTCCAGTGATTGCATCTGGCAAGGAAGTGTAGACAGTCAACTTGATTGTTCCAAAATGTTCTTTGCAAACTACTATTAGGCTGAGGAATGTTGTTTTTCAGGCGTTGTCTCAAGAGAGATCTCTGAGGCTAGGGCTGGACTTAGGGGTCTTTGGGCTTCTCAGATTGGGTCTTTTGGAGCTAAACAGTTCAGTCAACAGTTTGGAGTTTTGTTCTGACATTGGTCTCCTGGGTTAGATTTCCTATAATGAGTTACTTTATGGAACTTTTTGTATCTCCAACATTGAACCGTCTTGGGAGGGACGAAAGATGTTGCTAGCCTACATCGCATTCTGTTCTACATTCCACACTAAAAGGGTGTGGTATAGAAGAGGAATTAAGGTCTGGAATTGGAGAACATGGGTTTAAATCCCAGCTCGACCTCTTCCTAGCTCTTGGACGTGGGACAGCTTTCGTAATCCCTGTCCCTCAGTCTTCCCTGAGGATGGATGGTAACAGTGCCAGTTGATAAGATTGGTGAGATTATTAGATAAAATAAAGCACGTAAATGCTCAATATAATTTCCAGCACATAGTAAGCAGCCAAGAAATGATAGCTGTTATCATTGTTCATGCAATATAATAAGATTTCTTTGCTTTTCTTTCTTTTTTTTTTTTTTTTTTTTTTAAATAAGTAGTTTTCACCCAGCAGATTTAAAACTAGTCTTTAATCATGTGATGGTGCGTTCTCCTTTGTGCATCTTGTGAGATTGTCAGACTGGAGCTGTCTGCCCTGGATTACTGTGTCACTGTGCAGTTACTATCTCTGATTAGTTATGAAAACCAGAAATGTGAGATATGTATAATAACTCACTCAAATTCCCGTGTATTTCTAACTTTTTCACCCCTCTAAGAAAGCAAAGCAAGAAATGGACTTAGCAAGATTTTCCCTTTCCAAGGCAGAAAGATATAAACTGTTTCAGTTCACAAATCATCATGTTTAGTTTCAAAACTATTCGGTTGATTCTGAATGTTTATTCTGTTACAGCGGTGAAAGTTGTTGCCTGTTAATTTGTAACTCAAATTAATTATCAAGGTGGATAGCATTGATAGATGCTTTTGCTGGTGGTGCTGTGTATTGGAAAAACTTTAAAAAAAAGCTAATAAATATGTGGTCATTGTGGAGGCTCTGCTGTTTTTTAAGTATAATAACTTGATAAGAGACTTGCTTCTCTTTTATATTAAAGTATTCTATTTTATATATCGAGTAGTGACCCTGCAGAAATGAATATTTTGTTGTGTTGTTCTTTTTTCTTTTGGTGAGGAAGATTAGCCCTGAGCTAACACCCGTGCCCATCTTCCTCTACTTTATATGTGGGATGCCTGCCACAGCATGGCTTGATGAGCGGTGCATAGGTCTCTGCCTGGGATCTGAACCTGCAAACTCCAGGTCGCTGAAGCAGAGTGTGTGAGCTTAACCTAACCACTGCACCACCAGGCCAGCCCCTGATGTTGTGTTGTTCTTACAGGATGCCTAGTTCTTTCATCATAAACTGCCCTTTCCTAATAAAGTATCATTTTTTTGTTTTTACCAGGTGTTAGTAATTGATGCTTAGGCTTACATGAAATTTTTGAAAATATTTTGAAGTCTGCTGTGCACTAACTAGTCATGAGAAATAGCTGTGGTTACTAAGAACTTTAAGTATGGAGATAATTCTACACAGTGAGGCCCATTAGTCTTTTATATATATATATATATTTTTTTTTTTTTTTTTTTGGCTGTGTTGGGCACAATTCTCCTGGCCAAATATGGAACCAGAGTTGTATGTTGACAACTATAGCAATAAATGATCAGTGCTCCAGAAAAACCAATGGGCCCTGCAAGTCAGAAAGAGTGGTTTTCTTTGCCAGTGTGGCGGAATCAGATAAGTTACACTCATGCCACTTAAATGTTGCTGCTTATTTCCCCAGAAAAAGTAGAAGGGAAAAGTTTTATCAGGAGGCAGTCAATATCAGAATAAAATCTCTTTCCAAAAAGCTTATAGTGAAGTATTTCATATTTTTAAAAAATACCACATTTAGATAATACCATGTTTAGACAGAAGACGTGAGGGAAGCAATTGCAGGTTTACAGTCAGTACACGTGAAGTTTTGCGTACCATACCAATAATTGGAAACGTTTCAGAGGTATATCAGCCAGTTTAATGTGTATGTCGAAGCCTAGTAAGTGACAGTTTGTGCATAAGGTTAAATCTATTTTAATCATCTGTTACTTGAGAGTGTTAGTTGCGGTGGCCTGGCATCTCCATCCCTTTTGACTGTTGAACATTGCTCCTGGGAGACCTGCTTGGGTGACTTCTACTTGATTTAAAGTGGTTCACCTTGACCAGCCTGCCTTAAACAGAGCGTTTTCTGTTCAGCAGCTCTGCATCTCCTACAGACTGGACAGTAATTACTTTGTCAAGATGCCTCCTCCCCCTTTTCAGTAAGATTCAGGATTTTTCTGTTTCCCCTCCATGTTTGCATCTGACTTTTCATGAACTAATTATCCCGCAAGTCTCCCAAACACAGGTGACTATTGATGGGCCGTACATGCGCTCAGACTTCCGAGAGGATTACCATTTGAACCTTTTGTGACATAACATCAATGCTGCTGTTGAGAATGGTCGAGAAACAAACAGAAAGTAGCTGTCTAGACAGCCAGCGTACAATGGGCCGGTCAGAGGGAAGATGCATTTGCAGACCACGGAGTCATTGATAGAAAGTGTTCGTTAGGCGTGTCTGGACATCTCCAGATATTCTTGCATGGTCATTCCAGGGTTAACCAGTATCTAGAAATGTTGTAACCTCCTCAACACTGGACAGAGTGTCAGCTTGGGCCCCAAAAGTTTCCTTGGTTAAACTTCCCAACAGATTTCCCAGTTAGGACTTTTAATGATCAGCTTGGTAGTCCATGAGTCTACTTAGATAGAAAGAAAATTCCTACCACCTATTTCCTGTTTATAAGTAAAATTGTGAACTCATTTGTTCCCTACAGGGTGAAGAAACCAAAAGCCTGACTCTTATCCTGCATCGGGACTCTGGCTCCCTGGGATTCAATATTATTGGTGGCCGGCCGTGTGTGGTATGTTAATTGCTGAAATGTGTTTTTCCTTTCCCTGACGTAGCTGGAAGAGGGGTCAAGGTTTGGGGGTGGGGGGTAGGAAACCTTGCTCATCTCATTCTGCTCTCTGTCATTAGAGAGTTCATTGTTTATCTAAATTCACACTCAGGGATTTTAGCTTAGTTGTGGTCTCCTAAAATAGCATTGTCCTGGTAATACAAAGCTAATCTAAACTGTTTAGCTTTTGGGGTGCATGTCTGTGTCACAGTTGAGCTGAAGAAAGTTGTGTGAGATGTGTGCAGTTGTAACTGAGTATCTGAGCTGGATTGTGGGATCCAAGACTGGAAGTCTGATCTGGAGTTCTGCTCTGTCAACTCTTCATTAGTCAGGGACGATTTTCTAATTTGTGGGTTATTGCATCCCTTTGCTTTTTCCTCCCAGTGAAGCTCTGTGTCCACCTCATTCATCATGAGCCCCTCCTCCCGAAGGAAGAGGCTGAATTCAAATCTGTCTATTTAACTTCGAGGAAAATGTCTGCTGATAGGGCTCTGGGGAAGTGGCATAGGATGTGTTTCGGGATCTCGCCTTTCAAGCGGGATTATTGGAATGTGTGTTGTCTGTTGCCTGTTTCTTTTGCTGACCATTTCCTCATTTATTGGCTTAAAAGGAAAATAGTCAAAGGAAAGGAAAAGAAAATCAAATTCACTCATTCAACAAATAAGTATTGAACATGGGCTATTTGCTAGGGGCTGGGAGATATCATGGAGCCCAGGGAGACGGATCCCTGTGGTCATTGAGTTTATGTCCCAGTGGGGACATCAAACAAGGAACAAGTAAATACAGTTACAGATTGGGAAAAGTGATAAAGATGAAAGAAAAAAATGGGAGGATGGCGTATGGTAGATACCAAGTAACAAGGTGCTTCATTGACTGGGGTAATCAGGCGAGAGAGGAGGAGAGAGTAAGCCAAATTCTAAAGGATAAGAAGATGTCAGCCATCCCGATGTGGCTAATGTTTGCCCCACTCTCATGAAGCTCATGTCTAGACTGATGAGTTAGGAGAGGATGGCTCAGCTGTCAGTGATATTCTCTGTGCCTGGGTCCAGCTAAGGACATCGTGGGTGTCAGTTAATCCTAGGGGAGGAGGTGTCCTGGGGCAGGGCGACTGGAGCTGAGTTGTGAAGGATAAGTAGGAGTTTGCTAGATCAGAGGTCCATATATAATATATTTAGTTGAGCATTCTTAACTGTAAAAAAATTTGAGCGTATTTAGCTAGCTATAAATTTGATATATCTTCACTTCTGAACTAATGTTACCTGCCTTATAAAAGTTACATGCAAAAGGGAGCGTTTTAAATGATGAAAGTGAGTAGGAATAAACTTGCTAATGTGTTCTTTCATCATTCCGATGCATTGTGTGGCCTGTACCCGTCTTGGAAGACCACTGAGCTAAAGGAAAGTGGACGAGCCCAGGGAAGGCCGTATGAGGCCTGGAACAGGGACGGAATTGAGACTTGGGGGAACTGGCTAGAGCATGGCTAGAGTTGGGGCGGCGGGGAGGCAGGAAGTGGTCAGACAGAGGCGGCAGAAGAAGACAGGGGCCTGATCCCAAAAGGCCCAATAAGTCCTGGGGTCTGGGGTTTGAATTACCTAGGCAGTGAGTCGCCAACATAGAGCTTCAGTGGGCACGAGGAGGATTATGGGTAAATCCCCCTTGCTCCTGGCCAAAGCCCCACTTGCAAAAACAAACATAGTTTATTGTAAGAAATGACAGCTTAGTTATAAAGTGATACATAGTCACTAAAGTGATGAACTAATACGTTATCTGCCTTATAAAACATTCATATAAAGAATGTTGTAAAGGATGAGAATAAAATATGGGAATGAAGGTGGATGGGGGCAGGGGGCATTCCCACCTTTCTGAGCCCCAGGGATTTGCACGTACCATGTTGTGTTTCTTCCATTGTCTTGATGGAGTTCTTAACAAACTGTAGAATTATGTCAGGTTGGTATTTTTTATCTTTTCCCTTGTACCACTTGACTGAGATGTGCTCACTGATTCAGTCCTTGCGGCCGGGAGCCGGCTCTCTCCAGCTCTGAGATGGGCAAGGGCACGAACTGGGACTGAGTCTCTCAGTAATCGGCCCTGGGAAACCACAGCAGTGGGACCTAGCCGTGTTCTCCACCTTACCATCCAGAAGGTGTTTTGCCATTTAGCATGAAGAACAGAGAGTTGGCTGTACTTGGTTTACCTTCATAATTTTTATTCCTCCTCTCCCCAGCCATGTTACCAGTTTTAAGAAACAGCTTCAGTAAACTAAGATGCCCTTCACCGTTAGACGTTTCAGAAGCTTCCGCAGCCAAAAGAGCCCAAACCAGGAAGGTGTAGATTCTCTGCCTCATGCCAAAGGGTCTGTAGGAGAAGGGAGCTCCGTGTTTGCAAAATGCTTGAACTGGAGATTCGTGCCTCTGGCTCTGGGATTGTTGGAAAACCTACTGTGTGAAAGCCATTGAAGAGGATGCTTAGTTTCTGCACATCCCCAGGGGGGAAAGGACACTCCGGGCCTCACTGGAATATGGTTCTTTCTTGTGCTTATCAAAGAACATGTTTTAGGTTATTTCTTTTTCCTTTTAAAAGTGATTAAACCAGACTGAATTTTGTAGCGTTCATAAGTGCTCTCCATTTATGTGGTCTTTTTGCAAGAACTACATGCATGTCCTCTGGAGGACAATTTAATTCCATATGCATGTGTTTGCCAAAGTGTTTTTTAAAACTTGTCCTAATTACCAGAAATAGCATAGTGAACCCTAAGTGTATTCTGCATTGTTGCCTGGTAATCTGGCAGGGCATTGAGAATGTGCTAAAACGCCAAGATGAGCAACAAGGCACACTCACTGTTAGTTGCTGGAAGTAGAATGCAGTAAGATGACGTGTGTGTTTCCCAAGGAATTCCTGTGTTAGATGCTGGGTTGGGTTGTGACATACACCCAGCCGGGGGGCTCTGACATAAAGCTTTTCATGGCGTGATGCAGTACGTAATGCTCTTAGCAGAATCACACGATCCATTCATTAGTTCTCACATCCCTCAGGAAACAGCAGCCAGTCTAGTGTGTCAAACCTTGCACTCCAGCCCTTGGCAAGTGTACTTCATTATCAGGTACCCCTGGGGTGAAAACAATCCCTTTGATTTTTCCTTTTCTCAAGCCAGCAAAGTAAAACAAATGCCAAGTCATGTTAGTTCCCCTTGATAAATAGCTCTAACTTAAGACGTGTGAGAGGAGCCAAAAAAACAAGAATCAAGAGATATCTTTTAAGAAAAAAATCTAGCTATCGAGGATGGACGTGATTTGTTTTTCTTTGATTTTGGGCTTTCTATAATTTTTGTACTCTCTTCCACCCCCTACCACTTACTGTCTTCATTTAACCTAAATTGTGGTGTTTGCTCTTGCCTGTTCCTCTCTGGTTTTTTGTTTGTTTTTTATTTGCAAGATCAGCCCTGAGCTAATATCCATGCCAATCCTCCTCTTTTTGCTGAGGAAGACCGGCCCTGAGCTAACATCTATTGCCAATCCTCCTCCTTTTTTTCCGTTTTTCTCCCCAAAGCCCCAGTAGGCAGTGTATGTCATAGTTCCACATTCTTCTAGTTGCTGTATGTGGGACGCGGCCTCAGCATGGCCCGATAAGCGGTGTGTCGGTGCGCATCTGGATCCAAACCAGGACCGCCAGTAGCGGAGCGCGCGCACTTAACCACTAAGCCATGGGGCCCGCCCTGCTCTCTGGTTTTTTGCTTGAACTTTCTCACGCTCCTTAAGAAAAATTAGTTGTGCACGTTGTAGTATTTTTCAAAACGAACCAAAACCAAAATCCCATCCCCTATCTCCCTCTTCCCCTCTAGCCAAGAAATGCAAAGCAGTTAAATCAGAGTAAACACAGATTACTTTTCATTTGATATATTGACATCACCTCTTAGGGAACTCAAGCTTGTCCATAAATCCTTTGTGGTCCATTGAGAGTCTTCAAGTTCCTCTAGTGGAATATTCCATAGCCTGGAATGTTAGACTTCTGAATTCCTGTGTATTTTTAAGATTTTTCTCAATGGGAGACAATGTTGCACTTACAGCTTGTGTAAGAGAATCAGCCTATCCTTAGTTTGAAACTGACCTGTGCCACTTTTTAGCTGGGCGACCTTGAGTAAGTTACTTAACCTGTCTGCCTGAGGTTTTTAATCTATGAAATGGATAATAGTACAGTCATGTACTGCTTAACAACGGGGATACATTTCAAGAAATGCATCGTTAGGTGATTTTGTCATTGTGCAAACATCATAGAGGGTAGTTACACAAACCTAGATGGTGTAGCCTACTACACACCTAGGCTGTATAGTACTCATCTTATGGGACCACTGACATATATGTGGTCTGTCATTATTATGTGGAGCATAATTGTACTTACCACTTGTGGTTATTGTGAGGATTAAACGGTGGACCTGGAGCACTCACTCCCTGGTCCCCGGTGTGTGCTCAGTAAATAGAAACTATTGTGCAGCTTTGTACTTGCATTCGAGATATGTACATGGGGAGCTACACAGATGCATTAGGACTAGTGTATTAGTAAGATGGCTGTGCTAGAGAAGGGAAGCAGATAGAGGTTCAGATGGTAAAGGGTTAGTGTGCAGTAGGCCCGTGCAGACTGCTGTGATGCCGGGCAGGGATGCCTTTGGAGGAGAGCTGATCCAGCACAGCACCCACAGTCTCGCTGACCCTTCTCTCTTGGAAGAGTTGATAGAATCCAGATGGCAGTTAGAGACCTATCCTTGTCATGTGGGGATGAATGTTGGAAAGAACACTTAACGCTCATTTTAGGTTCTGATTTTGGTTTCTTTTGAATCATATTTATAACATTGTATTGTGTGTGTGTGTATGTGTTTGTGAGAAAGGGGGTGGGGAGGGAGAGCGAGGAGAGGAGTGGGGAGTGTGCCTTTTCCCTCCCTTAGTTACTGCCGTTGCACTTGAAGGGGTAGATTGAACCACATTCAAAGTCATCTGTTTCCCTTTTTAGAATATAGGGTTTTTTTGTTGTTGTTGGTTAAAGAAGAAGATGTATTTTCATAGTTGTTTTTTAACAAATGGAATTTTTATATATTTTCGTGTAGAGAAATTATTATTGAAATAGGTTTTATGGCATAATAGCAAGAAATTATACCATGATGCTAGATCTTGGAGTTTTTGTGGAACATCCTGAACTTACTTTTCAAATGCTTTTGTTTGGAAACAATACATGCTTGTGCCATTTAATTTATAAATCCATCTCACTAGAAATTTAATCCACACACTTGGAGAGAGTTCATCCCAGTGCTGTTTGGAAAGAAGTTCATGAACAAGCCGTAAGAGATTTTTATGAGCTTGTTAGAGCCTTTTGATTTTAAATAAAGGAAGGAGTTTGAGCAGGGAGCTGTCTTCTTTCCCAGGAAGTTTCAGTCTGGGCTTTGAAAGATCTAAAGGGATTTGAGGAGATTGAAGATCAGAATTTATTAGGATTGGGGGAGGGGTGCTTTTCTGATGCAAATCAGGACAAAAATACCATACCTATTTTCACGATCAGACTACTGGATATTTAAAAGCTTAATAATCCTCTGTGTTGGTGAGGATGTGGGAAAACTGTCTAGTGAGCTATCAGATTACCTCTGAAGGGTAATTTGGCGATCTCTAGCAAATGTACATATCCTTTGACCCAACAGTTCCATTGCTAGGGATTTGCCCCAGATATATACCAGCAAAGATATTTCAAAATACAGGTAGGAAGGTATTAGAGACAGCATTGTCTCTAATGGCAACAACTGGAAACAGGACTAATTATCCCTATGTTGGGATACTGTTCAGCCACTTCAGGGAGTAAGGTAGACAGACTATGGGGACTGATAGTGAAAAATATCCAAGATTTTTAAAGTTAAATGAAAGAGGCAGGGTACGCAAGAATGGAGAGAGCATAATCCCATTTATATGCATAAAAAAGGAACAGATACATGTGTAGGAAGGTGATACATGGAGGTTTTTTGGAAAGGATGCATAAACTGCAAATAGATGCTATATGGGGAAGAAAGATGATGAGGGGGAGATGGTGGAGACGTATCATACTTTTCTTGTATGGATAGAACTATTTTACCGTGTGTGTTAATTTTAGTTTAAAACAGAAATTACGGGAAACAAATGGCTTTTAAACCCCATTTTATCCCTTTTGACACCAGCAAGAGTCCATTACTGTCTTAAGAGTGTAAGCTTTATTTTCATGACCATCTTAATGCCTAGCATTCATGCGTGTGTTTTTTTAACCCAAAGGACAACCAAGATGGATCGTCCAGTGAAGGAATCTTTGTATCCAAAATAGTTGACAGTGGGCCGGCAGCCAAGGACGGAGGCCTGCAAATTCATGACAGGATTATTGAGGTATGTGAACACTGGCCAGTGTCTGTTAATAGGCTGAATGCCATCCCATCTTCGTCTGGCTCAATGCGAGATGTTTGGTGGGGGAGGAAGGCCTAAACTGGTGGATAGTGGGGCAGGAGGCAGAATTATCCGATTATGTGGGACCAGATGGAGTGTTGATTGTCTCGGTGTTAAGTTTTTGTTTATATTAAATACAGAGAAGCCAGATTATGAGTGGCATGCTCACGATTTGGGTCTTTTCATGTGGCCTCGCATCTGTTTTGTTTGCTGCAGTTATAACTTTGTGTGAAAACCACTGGAGAGTTGTATGTTAGTTGAAACCAGATGAGCAATCGCTGTTGTGCAAATTGTGACTCTGTTCATATTGGTTACCAGGGTATAAAGGTATCAGCTTTGGAGTCGTTCTAATGTCCTCAGAGCTCACAGCACACGATTATTGCTGCAAATGCATTGTTCTCTCTTTTGTGTTTATTTTCTTTGCCTGTTTTCAGTTGTACAAGTTGATTGTCCAGCGATGTGCAGGCAAAGATTGATGTTCAGGATGGTCTCTCACATCATCACCGACTTCTCCATTTTCAGTGCTTCACTCATCATTTCAGACTCTCATAGCAGGTTTATAGATTTACGCTGGGGGAGGTAGATCTCTCAGCGCCACTGTGCAACACTTGGGAATAGGGTCGCACAGTGTCTTAGGATGCTCCAAGCTGCTGAAAGGGAAAGAATTATTCATGCCTCCTTGTATGGGCTCTTGTTGCGAAGTTTGATACAAATGACTCTTTTT